AGGTTGCTGTTATGGGCGTCGAATTGACGCGGTTCAGTTGGAATCTCATTTAATGAGACATGGAATTGATCGAAGTTACACATGTTGGACATTACACGGTGAGATAAGTAACGAGAATGTTGAACCCCAGAACAATACGACCTCTACTTCAAAGGACAATGGTAGGGATACATACGATTGTGATCGAGTCGAAGATATTGCAGAAGCACTTGAAGAAGATCTTAAAGATTGTCCAAAGATGTTTGAGAGGTTGGTAAGCGATGCAGAGAAGCCGTTGTATAAAGGTTGCACTACTTTCACAAGATTGTCTGCGGTATTAAAGTTGTACAACTTAAAGGCGGGTAATGGATGGTCGGATAAAAGTTTCACAGAATTGTTAGCCCTACTTCAAGAGATGCTTCCGGAGGATAATGTTCTTCCCAATCGAACCTATGAAGCTAAAAAAATGTTATGCTCTATTGGGATGAGCTATGATAAGATACATGCTTGTCCAAATGATTGCATTTTGTTTCGAAATGAGTATGCATCATTAAACGAGTGTCCTAAATGCGGTGTATCTCGGTATAAGAAGAAGTTGTCACCAGCAAAAGTCTTATGGTATTTTCCTATAATTCCGAGATTCAGACGCATGTTTCGTAGTGAAACAGATGCGAAACACCTTACTTGGCATGCAGATGATAGAATTATAGATGGGAAGTATCGACATCCGGCAGATTCACCACAGTGGATGAAAATTGATAATGATTATCCTGATTTTGGAGAAGAAGCTAGAAACCTTCGCTTGGCATTATCGACTGATGGAATGAATCCGCACGGTCTGCAAAGTATCTCCCATTCCACCTGGCCTGTAATTCTTATGATTTATAACCTACCTCCATGGCTATGTATGAAGCGTAAGTACATGATGTTATCTATGTTAATTTCTGGCCCTAAACAACCAGGAAACGACATAGACGTATACCTGACACCTTTAATCGAAGACTTAAAAAGTTTGTGGGAGAACGGTGTGGAGATTTATGATGGATATAGGAAAGAAAGTTTTAATTTGAGGGCCATGTTGTTTGGCACAATTAATGATTTCCCAGCATACGGAAATCTATCGGGGTATAGCATTAAAGGTCAATGTGCGTGTCCTATCTGTGAAGAAAACACAGATTGGACGCGGTTGGAATTTGGTCAGAAGAATGTCTTTCTTGGTCATCGTAGATTCTTAAGTTCTAATCATCAGTACCGTGGGTGGAGACAAGAATTCAATGGAAATTCAGAACAACGTAGAGCACCACCTACATTGACCGACGATCAAATTTTTGCAAAGGTGAAAGATGTGAGTACTCAGTTTGGCAAGCCTTTTGCTCATACGCTTACCACGCGTGGGTGGAAGAAGAGGTCAATTTTGTTTGAGTTGCCGTATTGGAAGTCGTTGTATGTACGACATTTTCTTGATGTTATGCATATTGAAAAAAATGTATTTGAAAGTGTTATTGGTACGTTACTCAATATACAAGGAAAGTCTAAGGATGGCCTTAAAGCAAGAAAAGACTTGGTAGCAATGGGAATAAGAAATGAATTAGGACCCCAGAAGAAAGGAAATCGCACTTATCTACCACCTGCTGCATATACTTTGTCTAGAAAGGAGAAAAAGATAATGTGTAAGTTTCTTAGTGAAGTTAAAGTTCCAGAAGGATACTCTTCAGATATTAGAAGACTTGTTTCTATGAAAGACCTAAAGTTAAAGAGTTTAAAGACACATGATTGCCATGTTCTTATGGAACACTTTCTACCAATAGGTATACGTTCTATTTTGCCAGAAAAAGTGAGAGGCGCAATAACAAAATTGTGTTTCTTTTTCAGATCTATTTGTAGTAAGGTGATCGATCCTGCGATCTTACCAACATTGCAAAAAGATATAATTATTACTTTGTGTGAGCTTGAAATGTATTTTCCTCCGTCATTCTTTGACATAATGGTACATCTACTTGTGCATCTCGTGAAAGAGACACAACTGTGTGGACCTGCATATATGAGATGGATGTATCCAGTTGAACGTTATATGAAAATATTGAAAGGGTATGTGAAAAACCGAAGTTGACCAGAGGGATGTATTGTTGAACGATACATTGTTGTAGAAGCTATTGAGTTTTGTACTGAATATTTGTCCAACGTTCAATCCATTGGCCTCCCAAAATCTGATGTTGTTGAAAAAGTAGTAGGTAAACAGTTAATTGGAAATAAAGTTGTGACAGTTTCAAGGGATGAACGGGAGCAAGTGCATTTATATGTTCTGCACAATGACATTGAGGTTGAGCAGTACGTTAAATTGCACAAGGACGTTCTCCGAGGTTTAAATCTGAATAGAAATGAAAATTGGATAGTACGTGAGCACAATCGAAGTTTTATAACATGGTTCAAAGAGCATATTTATTCAAAGTTTTATTCTGATCCCGCTTCAATAACAGAAAGGTTGAGATGTTTAGCATATGGTCCAACTTTGCATGTGTTTTCTTATAGCGCATACGCAATCAATGGATACACATTTTATACCAAGGAGCAAGATGATAAAAGTACAATGCAAAATAGTGGTGTCACTGTGCTTGCCGAATCAATGCACATTTCCTCATATTTTGGGGTAATCGAGCGCATTTGGGTGTTTGATTATGAGAAGTTTCAGATTCCTATCTTTGGATGCAAGTGGGTTGAAAGTAATAGTGGCATACGTATGGATAAGTCAGGTTTTTTGCAAGTGGATCTTAATAAGGTGGGGTACAAAGATGAGCCTTTTATTCTAGCCACGCAAGCTAAACAAGTGTTCTATGTCACTGATCCGAAAAGTACGAAATGGTCTATAGTTCTTTTTTCCAACAAAGTAATCAACGATAACATTGGAGAAAAGAGGGAGGTTGATGTTGAGAATGAATCTTATGTTAGGGATGATCCAGATGAGAATATTATAGCAGACGAATCATATATTAGAAATGATCATAGCGAGGGAATTTGGATCAATCCATCCGTCCGTGTTGTTAAGAGACAAGTAAAGCACCTTCGAACTAAAAAAACAAAAAGATGTTAAAGGTACTTGTAAAATTACATATTGTCTCATTCAATAAAATAACATATTATTTCTTATTTATACGTTTCTTATGTGTGTGTGTGTGTGTATATATATATATATATATATATATATATATATATATATATATATATATATATATATATATATATATATATATATATATATATATATATATATATATATATATATATATATATATATATATATATATATATATATATATATATATATATATATATATATATATATATATATATATATATATATATATATATATATATATATTTCTTATTTACATATTTGAATGTCATTCATTTGATACTTTAGTTTTCCTGAATTACAGGTATATTATGGCCAGCAATGAAGATTGGAAGAAATTAAAGTAGAATTGTATAATTTGTGATGTTGAATTTCGAGTTGAGAATTGTATATAATTTGTGATGTTGAATTGTGAAGCTTTTGAATTATATATATTAAAGTGGAATTGTATACAATTTGTGATGTTGAATTGTGAAGCTTTTGAATTATATATATTAAAGTGGAATTGTATATAATTTGTGATGTTGAATTGTGCATATAATGCCAAAGTGTTGAATTGTGCACATAATGCCAAAGTGTTGAATTGTGTATATAAAGCCAAAGTGCTGAAATAAAGGGCTAAATTATATAAGCAGGTATTGTAATATAAGCAGGTTTATTGAAAAATATATAAAAAATGTCATTAATCAGGAAAATTTTTTTTTCAAAACGTGCACATTAGACAGCGCTTTTATGTATAAGCGCTGCTAAAGGGGACAGAGAAACTGCTAAAAAAGCGCTGCTATAGGTGGGGAAAGAGGGGTCTAAGACAGCGCTGCTATAGAGGGGGTCTAAGACAGCGCTTTAATAAAGCGCTGCTAAAGGGGGGGAGGGGTGGGGGAGATTACGCAGCGCTAAAAAAGCGCTGCTAAAGGGGTAAAAAAGCGCTGCTAAAGGTGATGTCTTTAGCAACGCTTTTTCCACAAAAAAAGCGCTGCCTTTACCTTTAGCAGCGCCACTTTAGGCAGCGCTTTAAAGCGCTGCTAAAGGTCAAAAAAAGCGCTGCTAAAGGTCTGTTTTGGCATAGTGATAATGTGGAAACTGTTACAAACCCCCTCCCCCCTTTATAAATGTTACCTTTAGTCAATTCAGATACAATTCAATTCATATTTGCAAAGTTTCACATCAATATCTTATACTAATTTTAATGTCAAAGTGCTACTTTATTATACAAATGTCATCTCTGGTCAATAAAAAACCACTGCCACCATAACGAAAACATCCTCACAAAAATTTTCATCAACATAACTGTTATTTTCTCAATTTCGATACAAAATAGAGTTAAAGGTGATTTGGACTAACATAAAAGATATTTTTGATCTCTAAATTTTGTTTAACATTAAATATTTTTTGTATTGGAGTTTTAAAGTTGTTATGTTATCCAAACTCAATACTACTAAATAATAATTAAGTTGAAAAATATCCTTATTAGATATTTGATTCCTTATGTGTATGCTAACAAATAATAATATCTGTTGAAATAAATCACCAATTTAAATAAAACTCAATTATGTCATGTAATTAGAATATGAATTATAGTTAGAGTATATGACAAAGGTACAACTAAATTAGTTCACATGAGGTGTCATTGACATGACCACCTATTCAATTGAACGGGTTGGATCTTTCTAGGAAGCACCAAACATCAAAAAAGCAAAGCTAGCACATAGGAGCAGTATAGTACTACTCGTCACTCATTTATTTTATCCAAAGTGTTAGAACAACACGTGACTAAATTCCATCTATATATAAACAAAGTAGGCAAAGCAAAAAACACCAATTATACCAACCACCTTAAATTTCCTTCAATCATTAAAGCATCCTATTCTCTCTTTTTCTCGTTTTAACAAGAATGGAGAATATTGATGAAGAATACAAACATTACTGGGAGACCAACATGTTTCTCCAAACCGAAGAACTTGATAGGTAACAATATAATTTCATTTTCTTGATTCAATTATACACCTATATACAACTAGTGAAAATTGATAATTGAGATGGATGTAGTGGCAGCTGGGGATTGGATGAAACGTTTTCAGGATACTATGATTCAAGCTCCCCAGATGGTGCAGCTTCATCAAAGAACATTGTTTCTGAGAGAAATAGAAGGAACAAACTCAATCAAAGACTCTTTGCACTTAGAGCTGTGGTTCCCAACATTAGCAAGGTAATTAAACTTCACTAATCAATACTAATCATGCTTCAAACTAATTAATATGATGTGACAATTTTTCTCTTGATGTAGATGGATAAGGCTTCCATTATTAGGGATGCAATTGAGTACATAAAACATTTGCATGAACAAGAGAAGATTCTTGAAGCTGAGATAATGGAACTTCAATCTGGGATGCCAAATAATACTATTAATCCAAATTATGATTTTGATCAAGAGCTTCCAGTGATGCTAAGGTCAAAGAAGAAGAGAACTGATCAATTGTATGACTCTGTCAGTTCAACAAACTCTCCCATTGAACTTCTTGAGGTTAACTCACATACAACTTAATTATTAGTTTAAATATATTAAACAAGACAGAGATTTCAAATCATAACCTCTCTCTTGAATTATTATAAATATGATTGATTATATAAAGAAAAATTGATGATGATTTTGAATGATATGGTGGAGTGCAGCTTAGGGTAACATACATGGGAGAGAATACAATAGTTGTGAGTTTGACATGTAGCAAAAGGACAGACACTATGGTTAAATTGTGTCAAGTCTTCGAATCTTTGAACCTTAAAATCATCACTGCCAATATCACTTGTTTTTCTGGCACACTTTTGAAGACAGTCTTCATCCAGGTTACCTTACTTTCTATTAATCTATTCTATCCTTTAATTTCACTTCTTTACTCAAAAAATAAAGTTTCAAAATCAAAATACAAAGTAAAACATGACAGCTAGAATGAGGGGTCTACATGCTTCAACACCAATACAACACTTTTTACAAAGTGGAGCATCCATTAAGTGAATAATGAAATTTTTTTTAACACATTCTCTCACATTTAAAATTAGATATCTGAAATGGTCCATTGAGTTTTAAATGAGATTGTGATATCATCTTATTAATTTATTAGTTAACAAAGAAAATAGAAATACTATATGTAAGTGAGTATGACATGAGAGGGGGAAAAAAAACAAAAATCTGAAAACGTGATTCTCATTCTTGTGCTATTTTTATTTCGGCGTGACTTCCACCGTGTAACACCGCGTCGTGCAGTTTTTATTTTTCACGCACGTTTTTCTTTTAATTCTGGTACGAATATTTTTGTATGCAATTATTGCTAATAACAATTGTTGCATTATTTGTGAAAGTAGAATATATAGATAGTTATTTTGTTGTATTCTTCTCTTATAAGAAATTATTTATATTCACTTATTATTTTAGGTATAAAAGTGTATATCCTAAATATTTTGCATGTTCTACAGCATGAGAGCAAGTGGTATATTTTTTATTTTAAGCATATTAAGAAATAATAATACACCATGTATATAGAAACAAAATTTGCTAATGAAAAAAAATAATATGAGAGTTACCATGTGTGTATCACTAACATATGCATTTTGTGTTACTTTGTTTTGATAATTTTTCAGGCAAATGAAGAAGATAAAGATCTAGTGCAGATAAAGATCCAAACGGCCATTGCAGCTCTTAATGATCCTCTTAGTCCTATGAGCATCTAATGAAGTATTTAGCATCTTTAAGTCACTAGTATAGAAGTGTACCTTGGCTTTATGTTGTTCATTAGAGTTCCTAATCATTGTATTATTTACTACCTAATTTCTTGCCCCATTTCTACTTCCTACTCAAATTTCCAATTATTGAGGAGTTTATTGTATCATTAATTGAATATCATATAAAATGTTATTGTAAATGTGGAGTGGAGAGTTGTTGGAAATATGAAGTGGAAAGGTTCAAGGTGCAATTCGAACATGATATACCGGCATTAGAAACTTATTTAAAAATATAAATCAATTTTTAAGAATTTTTTTAAAAATCAAAAGAGGGCACGGTCCATTGAATAAATGAAAAAGAAATAAGTATAAAAATGAGGGAGATAAAGAGTTAAAACTGTTAGAAATAATTTACATTTAGTAGTATTATTAGTTTTGTTACGCTTAACTTAGTTAGTGTAGGTTAGTATTTTCGCCTATGTGACATTATTGTTATGTATATAAACCAAAAGTTGTAACCATTTTGCAAGAGTAGTAGAAGTTTGTTATTCAATTCTCTCTTTTCTCTCTTCTTTTATCTTCATCTTCTTCATCTTGTGCATCAACAATTGGTATCAGAGACTGGTTCAGATCCATAGAAAAACACGAGTCAACGGTGAGGCATTGTGTGATTGATTTCGTTTCTAGTATTCGTGTTGAGTTTCTCGGAATCGTAACAGAATCACATTTCTTGATTCGGCGGGATTGAGAAACACTAGTTTCAGTGAGATCTGAGTGAATTACACAAGGTTAAAGATGAAGGAAAACGTAATCTGAGTACTAAGCTTCCAGTGTTTGATGGAAATAACTGGAATCAATTGATGATTCAGATGCGTGTGTTGTTTGACACTCAAGATGTTCTTAATCTTGACAACGACAGTTACGTTCTAGTTGCACTTCCGACAAATATAACGGATGTGCAAAGGAATACTTAGCGTGATCTGAGGAAGAAGGGTCATAAGGCATTATTCTACATCCATTAGTGGGTGGGTGCGAACGTGTGTTGAGTAAATCGTTGTTTCAATGATAGCGATTCTGATCACAAATAAGATGAAGTCATGTGGATAAACCCTCTCTTTAGAAAGGATCATTGATAAGAAACTTAGATCTCTTAATCCTCAGTTTGATTACATTATTATAGCAATGAAACATTTTAAAGGTCTTAGCACCATGAGAATTGAAGAGTTGCAAAGTAGTCTAGAGACACAAGAGTTGCGTCTAACTGAGAGAAACTTTGAAGTGGAGGTAGAGCAGTAGACTTTAAAAGCAGCTTATTATAAGAAATATCAGAAGCAGTCTTTGTCAAAAGGTAGGAAAAAATATGATTATGTTCAGAAGTCAGAAACCTCAACTTTTGAAAGGCAGAAGAGTGCTCAGAAGGGGAAAGAGAAGTATGACAATAGGAAGGTTTACTATTTTAAGAAGGTTGGTCAAACAAGGAAAGGAAGTAAGAATAAGAAAACATAGTCAGAGAAGATTCTGATGATGAACCTCTGCTATTGATGGCTTCTAAATCTGATGGTGCGTATTTGGAGACCAGTGATATATGGATTCTGGTTGCTCAAATCACCTAATTATAAACAAACAACAGCTGGTTATTTTGACTCTAGAAAGAGAACAAAGATAAGATGTGCTGATGATAAATACTTCAACGCTGAAGGAATGGGAAATGTCAAAGTCAAGGTGAAGAATGGTAAAAAATTTATGCTCAAATATGTTTGGTATGTTCTTGGCATGAAGAGAAATCAGATGAGTGTAGGTCAGCTCATTGAGAAAGTTTTCTCAGTTACTATGAAAACAAATCTCTTGAAAATGTATCATTCTTATCAGAAGCTAATTATGCAATTTGAGAAGAGAAGCAATATAACTTTCAGATTGAATGTGGATACAACTGAAACTAAATTCCTTAGTGTTGAAGGTAACAGTGAGTTGTGGAACAAGAGACTGGGGCATCTTAATTTTAGAAGCTTAGGGAATCTGAATTCTAAGAAGCTAGTATATGACAACCCTGAGATTGTGAAGGCTGAGAAGTCATGTGAAATATGCATGAAAGGCAAGCAACCTAGATTGTCATTTGCATCAGAAGTAGCCCCAAGAGAAAAACATGCTTTAGGAATTGTAAATTCTGATGTTTGTGAATCATTTAAAGTACCTTCAATTGGAGGAAACAAATATTTTATATTGCTTATGGATGAGTTCACAAGGATGACATGCGTAGCGCACATCAAGTTTAAGCATGAGGTGTTTTCTGAGTTTCAGAAGTTCAAGGTGAAGGCTGAAAAACAGAGTGGTTAGAAGCTGAAAATTCTCAAAACTGGTGATGGATGAGAGTATAACTCTATAGAGTTCAAAAACTTTTGTGAGGAGAATGGAATTGAGCATGAGTATATTGCTCCATACACTCCTCAAGACAATGGTCTTGTTGAAAGAAGAAACTGAACTTTGCTTGATATGACAAGGAGCATGCTAAAGGAGAAGAAGCTGCCTCACACCTTATGAGGAGAAGCTATTGCCACTGCAGCATATGTGTTGAACAGGTTTCAAACCAAGAAGTTAAAGGAAATTATTCCTTTAGAGAAGTGGACTGGAGATAAGCAAAGTGTGAGTCATCTGAAGGTGTTTGGTTATGTATGTTACAAGCATGTTACAGATGCTAAGAGAAGGAAGATGGGTGACAAAAACAGAGATATGTTGCTTATAGGCTACCACAGTACAAGTGCGTATAAGCTCTACTGCCTGTCACTAACAAGGTTGAATTTAACAGAGATGTCATTGTGAAAGAATCAGAAGCGTGGGATTGGAACAAGTCTCAATATAACTCTGGTGCAGTGTTAACACCTGAGTTAACTTCTAAAGATATTTCAGAGTCAGAAGAAGAATATGCTTCTCAAGGAGATTCAGAGTCTGAAGATGAGCCAGAGCCTGAAAGTGACTCTGATATTGAAGATGAGTCTAACTCTGAAGGTGAATCTTATTTTGATCCAAATTATGAGGGTGATTCAGACTTTGGTGGAGATCCAGACTCTGAAGATGGTCATGCCTCTAAAGGTGGTAGTTCTAGGGTTCTAGCATCCGAAGAAGATTCTGAACATGTTCAGAGGCCACAAAGAATGAGAAACTTACCACGGAGATTTGCAGAGTTTGCCATGTTACAAGATGTTATACTAGACTTTGTGGGAGAAGTCATTCGGTGTGCCATGTTAGTAGACTCTGAACCAGTTAGTGTTTAAGAAGCTCTCAAGAAGACAGTGTGGCTGAAGGCCATGAAAGAAGAGCTTGAGGCTATATAAAGAAACAAGACTTGGGAGTTGACTGAACTTCTAAAGAATAAGAAATCCTTCAACGTGAGATGGGTTTACAAGGTGAAACTAAAGCCATATGGATCAATTGGAAAACACAAATTAAGGTTAGTAGCAAGAGGTTTTCTACAGAAACCTATGTTAGACTACTTTGAGATATTTGCTCCTGTAGTGAGGCATGAGACAATCAGACTGGTGATTGTGATAGCTAATAACAGGAATTGGCCTCTGATGCATTTAGATGTGAAATATGCCTTCCTGAATGGTCCATTAGAAGAAGAGTTTTATGTGTCACAACCTCTTAGATTTATGAAAAAGAATCAGGATTGGATTGTGTACAGGTTACATAAAGTGTTGTATGGACTAAAACAAGCTCCTAGAGCCTAGAATTTGAAATTTGATTCATTTTTAAAGCTTCAAGGATTCAGAGAGTGTGAGATGGAGTATGATGACTATATTCATCATACTT